TTTTTATGTATGACATGCAACTTGTGTTTTTGGTGGTAAGATAATTAACTGGAATACCGTTAAGTTTGTAATTATTACTAATGTTTGTGGTGAAAATCATAATATGTCTTTTATCCACTGCCGATTATGAAAAAAGAGTAAGAAACTTAAGACCCAGGATACTTTCTCCACATCTTCTTACAACGATGCACTGCTCTATCGTGATAGAACACGAACAAAAACGCTAGCATACAGAACTTCTTTGGTCTCAAATCAATGTATAACTCGCGAAGATGGTGAGTAATTTATTTTGGTATCTATCTAGACTGAAGATGTCAAAGATGCATGAATAATTGTAAAGCTAATACAATCTGAACGTTTAATATCATTATATTAGTTGAAAACATTACTGTGTTAGTTAGTTATCCCGAACTATTAAAGTCTAGACGAGGTGCTTATGCAGTCTTCGCTTTGGACCGTATCTAAGAGCAAACCTTACTAACTTCTCTCTCGACATTTCATGAGATATGCAGACAGACAAGTCTATAACTACATATAATACTTCTCTCTTAGGATTTTTTGAAAGTGTCATTCAATAGTGATCTACCTCTTGGATCAAACTTTTACGGGCCACTCGGCCACATATATGCAAGAGATTGATCATCCGCGTGAATGTCGTCTGCGGGTATCAACAAACCGATAGAAAAGACATCGTGACATATATCCCGATTAGTAGTAGTTGGCGATCCGGCAGTCGAGAGAAGGACAGCGCGACATACAGCGCGAAGGAAAAACTGTACTATAGCGAAGATATTGTGTTATTCTTGATGGCGGCTGACAGACAACTGAAAGAGACAGTTCACACGCCTTTTCCTCGATTGAACGGTGTGGTAGTCAGCGTACGCGAAGTCATCATCGGATACGAAGTGGTCCGGGCGTATGGCTGTATCGATTGCATCGAATCGTCGTTTGACTACGATGATCCTATCGGGCGGTTCACACAAATGCCCCTTACATTGGACTTCAGTTTCGTCGGAAAGTCTCGGGCTCGGACAAAAGGTCCAAGAAGGTCGGAAAAAGAGCAAAATACGTTGAACATATGGTAAATCAGTCCTATAGTCGATTTCCACATTTCGATAGAGGCAAATAAACATGGATTTTCGTTGCTGTGATTTACGGATTTCACAACACAGTGAATGTCCGTTGATATGCATATGCTGAATAGAAGATCTAAAACAAACACACTAAAATAAAAAACAGAGGCTATGCCACAGAGGATACCCCTTGTGTTTTTGGGTCCTGTTGAAATAAAATAGTCATGTTTTAACACTTGATTTAATAAAGTCATGTCAATCATCTTTGATCCCAGTGTGACACAAACAGCTTTGTTCAGTCTAAAACAATTGATAACCTAGAGACATAATATAACTGAAGAACATGTTGTGTTGCTGTTTTGTGTATGTGTTGAGAATGCTGAACATTTTGTGCCTTACAATAAAGGAACTTATTTAAATTAAGCTGTATTTGTCTTTTTAAAAGTAAAGAACAACTAGCATATATAAAAAACAAAACAATAAATCACCAACACATGTATACATAACACAAAACAAGGTTATTTTTAAATGTTGTTTGAAGTAAAATGTTAACTATCCGTATTATATTCACTTCAGATGAATAGTATTAGAAAATGTAAAATAAGAAACCAAAGTATATCAGTAGGTGATTCTCTTTGCCATTGTATTCATCTAGTATATACTTTTACAACAATTAAATTATTGGTTTTGGCGGGCCACCCCAAGATTTTCAGTGGCCCCATTTGGCCACCCCTATGAAAAATGTCTGGAGGCGCCACTGGCTACAGGTTCGCTAGGGCATACTGTATGGCACTTATGCATAACTTGAAGCGGATCGAAGCCGATGCGCACTGTATGGGTCAATTCATTAGGGAGAGGTTTTGCTTTTGACTACATTTTGACAGGATTCGTACCGTGGACGCATATAGTAAATGGGAAACGTTTCAAACAGGTCAGCTCAGCATTCTGTGGCGAGCAAGATAATGTGCATTGATACTGTGCTAGAGACATAGGGAGCTCCACCATGGTTATTTAAAACGTGTTCAAGCTTGCAAATGTCCGTTTACCTATCCATAAGCCATAGCCTACGTTAGGTTCTTACTCGTCAATTAAATGTATATATTATGAGTTCAGATTAAGGCGTTGTAGACTAGCCATATATAAAGTGAGTTTGTGACACAGCCGCTGCGGGCTCCTGCGTTTCCATGTGCAGTGCTGCCGGAGTGCACCGGGACAATATTACAGGACATTTATTTTCTGAGGAACAACATTTTAAATTCACATAAACGACCGTACACATACAGCGTTTTGTACATGTTCATTATGTCCACTGTGAATGAACACACACGTACTACGCCTGTGCCAAGAGTAAAACATAACTTGTTTTCTTCGGAAAGAGGCTATAACTCGCCCTGGTGACCGAACGTCTACATAATCATGAAACATTACAAAGAATGAAACATAGCCCGGGGATTAAAACTTTATCTATTTGCCAATTTATATCGGTACGGTGGCTGGCGACAATTGGAAGTATTCTAATAACGGAATTTTTGGTGTCAACCGACGATGTTCAGCTTGACAATGTAAGTCGTAACAAGCGCAGCATATGAAGT